GCCTCAGTGCACCCCAGATGTGCTGAGAAGGGTGTCAAGAGACCACTGTTCGTAGAATTGGAATGTTTCTCAAGGAGTCGTCTGATTTTTTGTTCTAACCTCAGCTTTGAAATGACTGGGTTGCCATGCCCTAACTTGTCCCATGAGACTTCCTCAGATTGTCGGTGGTGACAGGTGTAAGCTCTTGCATTTAGAGACCAGTGAGAGACAAATGGGGCAGCGGGAATAGGTGGGAGGGCCAGCCAAGGCCAGAGATGTAATTGGTGACCTTGGAGAACTGAAGCCTGGTGGTACATTGAATGACCCAACCCTTAAACTCATTAGCCAGGCACCTTTGGCAGCCACATTCACAAATGCAGATATGAACTTGACATCTGTCTAGGGCGAGACCAAGCCAACTCATTGACAATTCCAAACAGGCTTGGTCCTGTGAACTTTGTTCTTACTATGGCCATTTAATTATTTTATGGATTCTTCTAATTCTCTGAGAGAGGGTAAAAATAACTGGCCTCAGAAGTACAGTATCCAACACTTTTTCAAGTTGCCGTATTTTTGTGAGCGGCAGGAAGCTAATAGTGCTTTAAAGAAACTACAGAGAGATACATCAGCACTTTCCCTACGACCCTAGCTTCCCAAGGTGGAAGCATTCTGAAGGAATTTGCTTGAGGGGGAAACTCTGGCATCTGCCTGAGCCCTTATCCACAGCTCATTTCATAGGTTCTTAAAAATGACACCTTCACTTCCCCCATAGTCGGCACCTGGGAATTTTGGAAATTACAAAGAAAAAGTTGTTAAGAGCCAGTGGGTTCTGAGTTTGTCTGTGCTCATAGTCCTCAGAGAACCTAGAAATTCAAAGAGCCCCATTTACAGACTATGGCATGGCAATACTGTGTGCTAAAGAGAAAGGAAATGAGGGGATGGATGCCAGAAAATTCCAGTCCTCGGAATGGCAGCAAACAGAATTCCATCACTCTTTTGTTTTGGACCCCAAATTTGTTCTCTGTTCTATTGTCGGAAGCTGCTACTAGGTCTTTATTAGAGACCTAGCAGATACATTCAGGCTTAAGGGCTAGGAATCATTGAAAAGAGAACTAATAATGTCCCTTTGTTATGTCTGTATGTGTTCATGTATGTGTACATACATGTACATAAACATGTGGAGGCCAGAGTTTGTTTTCAGACATAGTTCTAAGTTTCTCTCTAACTTATCATCTTTTACCATGCATCTGAGTGTTGCCCTGCATGTTTGTCTATAAATCTTGTGTGGGCTTGTGCCAGTAGAGATCAGACAAGAGTGTCACATCTCTTGGAGCTGGAGTCACAGACAGTTGTAAGCTGCCATGTAGGTGATGGGAATTGAACCTGGGTCCTCTATAAAAATAGCAAGTGCGCTTTACCACTGAACCACCTCCCCAGCCCTTATCTTTCTTTTAATAACAAGCTCTCTCACTAAACTTGGAGCTCACCAATTGGCTCAGTGGGCTAAGCAGCCAACCTACGGGGTCATAAGCACTTACTAAGACACCCAGCATTTTTATATGGAAAGAAGAAAGGAAGGGGAAGGAGAAGGAAGAAAGGTCGGAGGGAGGAAGGGAAAGAGGGAAGGACAGATGGACAGCAGTCAGATCAGCAGACAGACTCCTGGCAATATCTTCTCATGCAGAGAGCTCATTATCTCTCCCAATAGTCTTGGAGTCTCCTTCACTGGAGAGAAAACAGAAGTGGTGACTGTCTTAGTTATTGCTTAGTTACTGGGGACTTGCTCACAGTTTCTGAGGGTGAGTCCATCCATAAGACCGTCATAATGGAGAGCATGACCTGAGAGGCAGGCAGGGAGGTGTGCATGGTGCTGGAGCAGTAGCTGAGGATTTACATCGGGATCCACCAGCAACAAGCAAAGAGAGGGGGAGAGAGAGTGTGTGAGGGAGAGAGTGAGGCAAGGCCTGAGGTGGGCTTTTGAAACCTCTGAGCCCACGCCCAGTGACACACCTCCTCCAACAAGGCCACCCTTCCAAATCAATCCTCTCTAACAGTCTACCACCTGGGAACCAAGCATTCAAAAATACGACATTCTCATTCAGACCACCACAGTGGATTATCTGTAAGGACAGTGGACAGTAACGCTGACCAGGTGGAGGCCCAGAAATGAAGATGGCTAAAATTCTGCCCTCTGGTTCTGGGAGAGAAAATGACTCTCAGAGGCCAGCCATAGGAGTCAGGGACCCAATAGCCCATAGCTGAAGCAGATCCCATGGCAGAACGTGGAGGAGGGTGCCATATTGAGGCTGGGAGCTGCCCTCTTCCTCATTCCGAGCATCCTGTGAAACACGGAAGCCCCTCTTCATACAGGAACTCTGCTTCTGTGTTAACTACTTCTCTGTTGCTGTAATAATCTGTCATGACCAAGGCAACTCACAGAAAGAAGAGTTGTCTCACAGTTCAAGGGAGATAAAAGTTCATCATGGTGACCAGGCAGGGCAGCAAGTGGCAGACATGGCAGCAGGGGCAGAAAGCTGGGAACTGGAAGTGGGGGCAAGTCTATTGACACTCAAAGCCACCCCCAGTAGTGGACTTTCTCCAACAAGGCCCCAGCTCCCAAAGGTTCTGTAACCTCCCAACATGGCACCACCAACTGAGAGCCAAGTGTTGGAATGCCTAGAGAATTTGCCTTCTTTTTTTTTTTTTCTTTTCTATTGGGAAATTTTCAGTTTGCTACTTCTAGCAAAGAAGGCTGAAGAGGAGGGTAGGGTGATGGGCATATTGGAGTTTGGATTCTAACTGATGATGAAATGAGATTGTAGTGGCACAGATAACATTATTGGCCCCTTGGGTCTGTCCTAATATGGGATCAGCACCCTGATCATTTGACCCATGTTATCATTTATTGTCCCATCCTGTAGTATGACAGGCTCTCTTCTAAATTTCAGAGACTGGTTAAAGACCAGATGTTAATACTTGTAGCAGCATACAAGAAACTGGATCCCACTCTTGTGCAGAGACCCCCAGCTCAGCTGGCAGTCATACCACAAGCCACTGTTCCATACAGCACCAGAGACATGGTCCCTGGTAAAAACAAGGATTATGCCAAAGCATTCCATTCCCCTCCATTTTCAAAACAGTGCTAGGCTGTATCTCTTACCCACTTCTAGACTTGCAAGGCTCTCATAAAACCATAAGATGACAAGGACATTTCATTCTGAGATTTTATTATATGGGCAGAAACTCTATACAACAACCAGATTTGGAGGGCTAGCTCATTAGCTTTAATAAACAACATTTCCATCTTAAAAATTAAATGAGAAGTAAGTTTTACCAAAAATTTTCTACATAAACTTTTCCTGAAGATGAGATATAGTTTATGGATTTGTGATATGCATGGTAAAATCAGCTTAATTTGTTCTAGAAAATACTTGGGTGTCTAGAAGGAATAAAAAAAAATCCAAAAGGTGTAACTAGGAAAATGTCTTAGTAAACTGCTTTACTCTGCAAGCCTGAGGCCATGAGCTTGGTCGGGCAGAACCTATGTGAAGAGCCAGGAGTAGAGCCAACATCTGTAAACTCAAGCTGAGGAAGAGCTCACTGGCTAGCTAGCCTAGCTGAATGGATAAGCCTCAAGTTTAGTGAGAAACCATGTCTCAACAAGTCGAGTGAAGGGGGACAGAGAGATGATTCATCAGTAAAGGGCACCAGCTACCAGTCAGAGGACTCAGCCCTGATTTCCAGCACCTCTATGGCAGCTTACAACTCTAGTTCCTGGAGATCCATGCCCTCTTCTAGCCTTCAAGTGTACTGCACTCATGGTGCATGTACATACATTCAGGCAAAAACACTCAAAGACATAAAATAAAAAAAACATATAAGGTAGAACATGATTGAGGAAGACACCAGAGATGAACCTCTGGCTCATACACACACAAACACACACACACACAAAGGGCAGTGATGAGTTATGTCACTGCAGAAAGTAATAATTAAGAGCAGAGTAGCCATAGCCTTCTTTAAATGGTGTCTGTCACACACATATCACATGGTCATCTGTATCGGCGTAAATGAATGCAGACAGAATGTAAAAAATATACACAGCTTTAATGGGGAAATTAGACTTACAGTACCACGGTTCCCACGGAGAACAGGAAGCAGAAGGGGTGGCTGGGCGCACGCCCGGCAGATTTATAGGTAAGCATTCACCAGAGGCGGACACGCCTCCTAAGGCTGGGCTTAACCCTACAGTCATCGCTGCTCAGCCCCATAAGTACATTTGCAATAACCTGCCCTCACTGTCCACTTGAGAGGCCGGGAACTGGGTCAGCCACTGAGTGATGGTAATTCATGCAAGAGACATGCTGTCCCCTTTGTCAGGACAGCACTCGGCTCTGTTATGTGTCTTCATTATTCACTTTATTTCAGCTATTAAACTTCACCTAACTGAAGCCGTGTGAACCCCAGACTGAAATAAAGATAATTAAAACTAATTGTTGGTCTCTAGTGATAGTTCTTTTTTCTCTCAGCGCTCTAGAGACCCATCTAGTGCTTATGGCAGCTATGGCCCCATAATGGGCCAACTTTCTCACCTCGTTACATGAAAGCATTACTTTCATATTCAGTGAAACCTCGGCTTCTCCCACCTCCCTGGATATTTATTTTAGTACAGTGTGCTTCAAACGTGTATCATATTCCTTCTATATTATTATTATCATCATTATCATAATTGTGTGTGTGTACCCACATAGTGTTGGAGGACGGGGGCATGTATGCCATAGTAGGCAAGTGGAGGACAGAGAACTCTCTGGAATTGTCTCCTTCCACCTACCCATGGGCACATGCAGGTCACCAAGCCTCTTCCAGATGAGCCATCTCCCAGGTCCTTTATCTAAATACTATCTTCTTCTAAATACTTCCCTCTGGTGCCTCCTTCCCTCCAGATCCCATCCAAAGAACAACCGTCGTTTTCTTTTTTCTGTCAGCCCGCTCTAATTTTTCTCTGTGTTTCTCTATATTAGAATCAAATTGCCAGATGAGAACATTGGACAGCGGGATTGGAACCTTCCCTCTTCCAGACTCAGGAAACCGCTCAATGGGACGATACACATGCCAGCAGAACTCGCCAGAGGACCCTGAGCCCCTCCCATCTCTCCATCCAACCCCATCTGTAGCTTCCTCTGCCAGAGCCCAAACCCTTGAACACAAAGTGCCTTGCTCCATAGACAGCCAGAGTTCCTCGGAGTCTACCATCATCCATTCCGTATCTGACCCCAGCATGATGGCCAGAGGGACGCAGAGTCACCTGCCCAAGCCCACATCCTCAGGTAAGGTGCCATCTACTGTCCAGTGAAATTGTTCACATCATAATAGCATGTTTGCTGATGAACGTGTGAAACCACCCAGCAGGAAATCTCTGCATACCCTCAGCCAAAATGTGGAGCAGCACACACAAGACCTTACCAGGGGCTGGGGAGATGGTTCAGTAGGGAAAGTAGTTAAGTTTGCAAATGCAAGAATTCTAGTTCAGTTACTAGAACCCATGTAAAGAAGCATAAAATCTGTTATCTCAGTGCTGGAGAGTTAGAGAAAGACCAGTCCCAGGGTTTGCTGACCAGGAAGTCTAGACAGATCAACAAATGCCAAGATAGTGGGAGATTCTATACAAGATACCTGAAAAACAAAACCCCAAGTTTCTTTCTGTTCTCCACCCAGCATAGCACACACATGCAGACACACACACACATGCACAGCACACACGCACATGTACACATTCATAAACATACACACATGCACTAATTAACAAAATGACAATATCAACTTTTAGTATTATGTCCAGGGGTGGGCATTCATAAGAGGAAACAGCACACCAATAGATGTCTCATAAATTGAAGAAACAAAAACGTGCAATATATATTCATGGGATTTTATCTTTAACCTCCATTAGGACTTATTGAATATAGGGGTTGGAGATATGGTTCAGCCGTTCAGGGTGTAGACTGCTCTAGAAGAGGTCCTGAGTTCAATTCCCAGAACCATCATTGAGCAGCTCAAAACAGCCTGTAACTCTAGGGAATCCAGGGCCTCTGCGGGTACTGCACTCAAGTACACATGCCTGCCCAGAAACATATCTCGACACATAATTAAAAATAAAAGAAATCTTTTTAAAGAGGATATATTGAATATAGAACAAGTTAGCCCCCAACACATTGACGTAAGTGGAACATTGTGTGCCCGCTAAGCAGAAACTGTAAGTCTCTTGACATAGTTCTATCTCGCTAATGTACATTTACACGCTGCTGAACTATAAAGACTTGGTTTGATTGATCAGCAGCAGATTGTGTGTTGACTGCAGAGGAAAGTGGCTGGCCTTCCCATCGAGACCTGCCTGCAATCAATGGAAAGAAGCTTTTATGAGGAGAGACAAGGCCAAGCTAAGGGTCAAAGTTTTTTTCATTGTTCCCTCGATTAAAAATATTTATTGCAGACCTGGATGATGCCCAATAATTCTTAACATGTGTGGTTGTGGCTCTGACAAGACGGGGATAAGCACATGAACCAGAACTCTGAAACAGTGCTTTCGTTACGGCTAGAGGATCAGAAAGGAGCCACATATGAAGGTTATATTCTAGGTTTCTGAGCATTTAGAAGAGAAGGCTGTTAATTAAACATGTTTGAATGGATGTATCAGACTGTTCCCATGACTAAATTCTTCACACAGAGATAGCAATGGCCAAGGGGCCTCATCAGGACTTGTGCTCCTTCCCAGGCGAGGTTACATTTTTAAAGGCCATAATGCATATTATTTTTGAAATAAGTGCAGTGTTAATTAATGGCACAGCCTCCCGAGCTTCAGGGGCAAAATCTTAGTTATAGATTATGTGCTCTATGCCTGAATAGTTGCATGTGTGACCTCAATTCGGCAGCGGGCTGCCGAGTAGACTCCATGATTAAACACTGTCATTATAACAAATTGAATAGAAACCACAAGCTTTGAATTGCTTCATAAGAAGGGGACAGGAAGGAGATTGTTCTGATCTTGCCACTTACATTTGCGGCATCCAAATCCCAGGGCTTGCGTCTTAATTAAATTGTCACAAAGAGTTTGTAAAAAGGTACTGCATGGGGGACAGTGAGGTGAGCATACAGGAGGCCATCTTAGGGTCACCCACCCTGAAGTCACCTGTCCATGACACCCACGGATGCAGGGGTGTTTTCTGATGTGTTTCTCAGTGACCAATTGTTGGGGGGAAAATTATGCAGTGCAGAAGTTTTGGGAACAAAAAGGAAAATGGGATTCCACCACTTCCTGTGTGATTTCCACAACTGAACGTGGCCTTTTTCTTGTCCCGATTTCAAGCCTGGAGGCATGTGAGCCCGTCTCACAATGCTGATAAAAGCATAGCTGTCTTATCTTCTCACCTAAGCTGACTGCTAGGGAGGCCTGGGGGGCATGTCCTATTGATAAATAGGGAGGTGTCTTCTTTTTTTTACAGTTTTCATACAGGTGTATATTGTATGTTGTGCCTGCTCTTCTTCATATTCCCTCTACCCTCTTTCCTTGTCCTTCTCTCTCCTACCAGTTCCCTTTGTCCCCCTGCATACTTCCCCTTCTATTTTTATGTCATCTGTAATACATGGTATTGTGTAGCTATATAAAATATAAGAACTACATGCGTGAGAGAAAACATACAGTATTTGTCTTTCTGAGATCGGCACAGTTTGCTTAATATTTATTTCTGGTCGCATTGTTCTCCTGAAAATTACTTTCATGCTTCTTGTGCACATTTTCATTGGGTATTCCAGATCTATGTCTATCTGTGTGTGTATCCATCTATATCTATAGACATATATGCCGCAATAAGACAGTAACTTGCAAAACATTTTCCTTCATCATTCTAAGAAGGGAGTCCCCATTAGGATCCTTCAGCTTCAACAAGAAACACATGAGAAGGGTGTCATTGTCACTTGCCATCAGAAGATTATAATTCAAAACACATTAAAATCCTATCCTACCACCGTTGGAATAAGGATAGCAACAAATGCTAACAAGGAAGTGGACTGAATGGAACCCTTATGCACTGCATATGCAGCTACTGTGGAAGTCAGTGCAGAGATCCCTCAAAAGCCTAGTCAGTCTTCCACAAGACCCTGTGATTCCAGTTCTGCATATTTCTCCAAAGGACTCTGAAACAAGACATCTCAGAGTCCCTTGTACATCCATTCTCACTGCAGCACTGGTCGCAAGCGCTAACTTATGGAACCAGCCTAGGTATCCATCAGCAGCAGAATGGATAAGGAAAATGTAGCTTTGATACACAATGGGAATTTATTCACTTACAGTGAAGAACAAAATCGTGTCATTTGCAGGAAGATGCATGCAGCTGCGGGTAAGCTTACTAAGAGAGTGATGCCCATCTCAGAAAGGCAAATAGCATATGTCTCTTCTGATTTTCATATAGATACATAAAATTGTGTGTGCGTGTGTGTGTATGTGCACGTGTGTGTGCCTGCATATGTGCATGTGTGCGTGTATGTGTATGTGTGTGTGTGGTGAAAGTAGAAGAAAAACCATGTGGGACACAAAAAGAACTAACAGGAGTGAGAAGAAGCTAGAAAAGGCTGACAGTGATGTACAAAAAAAAATATGCTCAGCACACACACACACACACACACACACACACACATATTAAAGAAAGAAAACAGCAAAGGAAAACAAGGATCCTCTACTCAGTGATGTTCGGGAAAGGCTGAAAACTCAGATCCTCTTCCTGGAAACCTGGGATGGATCTAGTATTAGTCCTCTGAACGAGTTCTCTTCTCATTGCTGTGGTACAGTACCCAGACAAAAACAACCTAAGAGAGAAAGGGTTTACAGTGGCTCACAGTTCTGAGGATCTATAACCTATCACAGTGGGGAAGGCACAACAGCTGGGAGGGAAGCCATGGCAACAGGAGTAAGAGGCAGGCTGGTCACATGGCATCCACACTCAGGAAACAAGAGAACAGGAAGTGGGGCCAGCCTATGATGCATCCAGGCCTCTTCCTAGTGACCCACTTCCTCCAGTGGGGCCCAACCCTTTGAAAGGTTCCATGTCCTTCTGCAACAGCACTACCAGCTGGGGACCAAGTGTCCAGATGCATGAGCCTGTGGGAACCGTTGCACATTCAAACCACAGCAGCCTCCAAAATATGTTCACATTTCATGATTTGAAAGATAGCCTTACTGTTTCCTAACAGTTTACTTGCTGGGCCTTTTTTTAATATGGAAAACCTCAACCTGTTTAGAAAGATGTCTGGTCCCAGGGCAGTACGCTTTAAACCTCCTCCATAGATGTATATACACAGTTATGCAAATATTTGGGCAACACAGACTCACATAGAGAGCCGAGCATCAAGAGACCCAACCTTCCCTGTATTCAGACCTTCATATTATTTTGAAATGTCTCCCCTCCTCCTTCCTAAATTTGCCAAAGGTTGGTGAAAGTCCGTTTTTTTTTATTTAATATGCCTTTCTTCATTTAGGAAAAGCCGTTTTCCAAAAGCAGAATGAAGCAGAGTCAAAGACGCAGCCTGCCCCATCGTTCGACTATGTGGAGGATGCAGTGGCAAGTGAGCCCCTTTCAGGGTGGGGTGAAGATACTGCCACCGAGACCCAGGTGAGGGGGTGCCATCTGCCTGTCTGCCCTGATTGCAAACGCTGAGCTCCTTGGACCCTATGGAGATTGATTTAATTTTAAATCAAATCTTGCATTGCTTTGCCAAGTCTGTATCAGTTACTTTTCTCGTCTCTGTGGTAAAATACCTGGCAGATATAATAGAAGGGAGAATCGGTTCATTTCGGCTCCGCTTCCAGGGATTTCAGTCCCTAGGAGTGGGGGGGGGGCGGGGGCAGAGCAGAATGGTTCCTTTCCAAGAAGCTACAGCTACAACTTCTTTGCCTGGTGGCAGCTGGGAGGCAGACAGAGCTGGGCTGAAGCCAGAGCTGGGCTGCATCTTCAGACGTCCACACAGGGCCCCTGTGAGCCACCTCTGTCATCCAGGCTCCACCTGAAACACTCCATAGCCTCCTGTTGTGTTTTCATTTCACTTTCTTTGACCAAAAGCAACTTTGTGAGGAAAGGGTTTCATTGACCTACATTTCCAGTTCATAGACCATGATTGCAAGGAAGTCGAGGCAGGAACTTAAAGCATTAGCATATCTGCAGTCAAGAGCCGAGAGAATGAAGTTCTGCATCCCTACTCCCTGCATCTCCTCTCTTACACTGTTCAGGAACCCCGCCTAGTGCTGCTACCACAATAAACTGAGTCTTCCTATATCAAATTAACAATTAAGGCATTCTTCCACAGACATGCCCACGGGCAAGCTTGTTCTAAATAAGCCCTGTCCTCATGGAGACTCTCTCTCATGTAATCATATGTTCCGTCAAGTTCAGTTAAAATTAACCAGCTCACCCATCAAAATACCAATAGGAGCCAATCCACAACCAGTTCATAACAACATAGAAACTTTCACCTATGTCTCAGCCTCTGCTCAGAATGAATATTAAATTAGAAGATTATACAGTCAGTAATCGCTTACTTCTTAAAGACCATCTTCCACTTGGGGACTGAAAGGAAGTGATAAACGGGACAAGTATTGTTCTTTTCCTCCCAAGGTTCTGTGTGATTGGACCACATGACCGATTTTCTCATAACTGCTAAGATGCAAGGAACAAAGCAATGGGATTCAGATCAATGAGAGATTCTTAGATGTTCTGCAAACTAGACACACAGGCCCATGATTCTCCATTGCGTCATTAAGATGTTTCTGGTGACCCAGGGTGGATTCAGATAAAAGCAGACAGCAGACCACAGTGTGTTAAGAGCTCACCTGTGAAGAAATGCTGATTGACAGATTTCATGTAGCCGAGACCAGTCTCAAATTCATTATATAGTTGAGGCTGACCTGAATTCTTTCTCCTACTGCCTCTACCACCTGAGTGTTGGGATTGCAGATGTGCACCACCACACCTGCTTCACATGGTACTGGGGATGGAACCCAAGGCTCTGTGCGCACTAACCAAGCACTCTACGAGCTGAGTTACATCCCCAGCCCTGAATATACCTGCTTTTTAATATGTTTTGAGATTGTAATTCACCATTTCCTCCCTTTTTCTTCTCTCTAAAACCTCCCCATGTACACTCCCTTACTCTCGTGGCCTCATTCTCTTTAGTTGCTCTTAAATATATATATATAGTGTGTGTGTACATTTTAATATTCTAAAACACATTCATATAAGTAACATTATACAGACTGAGCAGCTTGTATTTATATATGTAAGAATATATGTATTTATAAGTACTGAGGGAGAATGATTTTTCTATTGTCAATCCTGCTTCACAAAGAAAGCTAGCTAGGGAGGTTGAACTTCACATGCCTTGCTGTTCATAGTGGTACAAGCCACCAATGGAGCTACATGCCCAGCCTGTCAGCTTGCTCCTTTGCATCCTGTTAAATGCGACAAAACATACCTCCTCCCTAGAGCCCTGCCTCCCTGCTCATAAAGCACCCAAGTAAACCCGCATCTTTTCTTTCAAGGTTGGGTTTCTTTAGCTTGACCGAGAAATGTTAAAAGTCCACTTGTTAACAGAGTCTGCCTACAGATTCAGGGGCTGAGTGGGTGGCCTGGCAGGGGAGGGAGCAAAGAAGTCATTTTGTGACTTTGTTTCCACGGAGCTACCCACTCTAATTTGCCAGCTGAGAAGAAAAGTATTGTTTCTCCACATGTGCTGTCAGGGTCTTGGGCACTGATGACTACAGGCACAGAGGAGGTAGGAAAGGCAAGCCAGTGGCTTCCTGTAAGCTGAGGGAAGGACTATAGAGGGACAGCAGGAAAGCCCAGCCTCTGTATGCAAAGACCAGGGGAAGAGAGTCTTAACTGCTGGACCCCCTGTGTCTGGGTCACTTAAAAGCAAATGATTTGCTTTTGAATCACCAATAGCTGTGATTACATGCAAAAGACAAATACAAGGCTGGGCATGTCAACATTGCATCATGGAGGAGGGGAGGTAGGTCACGCAGCCCCACCCCTGTCTGATGACTTGTAGGAAGTTAATAGTTGTGGAGAAAATGGAAACATTCTCTTCAGTGGGATGGCCAATGGTAAGGTGCCCATTCCAGGAATAACCTGCCAGTAACACTTCCTGTAGATAACGCCTCACACATGCTCCTGCAAACATCCCCTCAGCCAGGCATCCCTAAGAAACCCGACTCAGACACATGTAAGAAACCCTCGTTAAATCAGTAGATGGAGGGGGGGGGAGATGCTAGTAGAAAGGGAACTTGTTGGGAAGAGTAAAAGGATCAGCAGGAGTCAGAGGGGGCAATAGAGGGTAATGGGGTGAATATGGTCAAAGCACTATATATATATATATATATATATGTGTGTGTGTGTGTGTGTGTGTGTGTGTGTGTGTCTGTCTGTGTGTGTGTGTGTGTGTGTGAGAGAGAGAGAGAGAGAGAGAGAGAGAATGCCATGATGAAACCCATTATATTATATTATATTAAATAGTACATGCTAATAAAAGAAATCCATATACACTGCAGGTAAGCTCCTGACTCATCCACATGGCCACCCATCGCCATTCTCAGCACTTCTGCTAGTCAGGTCTCTGTTTCTGCAGCATGATGACAGAGCGAGCCAGGAAGCCAGACAGGGTGGCTCACACCTGTAATCCCAGCTACTCCAGAGGTCAGGGCTGAGGGGATCAAGAGGGAGAGCACAGCCTGGGCAACATAGTTAAGACCCTGTCTCAAAACTGAGGTTCCATGGCTAGGACATAACTCAGTAGGAGAGCACTTGCCTAAAATATGGAAGGGCCAAACATTTCATTCCAAGAGCAAAGTCATCGTTACCATCAACTTACAAAGAAGAAAGGTCTAGTCCTTGATAAATTGCCTTCCTTGGTGTTCACTATGGAAGAGAAGTAGATCCTGGCAGGAAGCGTGGGGTAGGGCAAGATTGCTCACCTCATGTGAAAGGAAAAGGAAGGAAATGGCTCCCCCCATCCAGATTCTTGAAGGCGTGACGCTAATGACTTTAAACCTCCCTTGTCTTGAAACACCTCTTGAATGTTTCCACCAGCCCCCAACAGCACCCAGATGGGAACCGGGCCATTACCACATGGGCATTTGAGGGACAATCTATATCCAAATCATAGCACCAGCCCTGCCAGCTTAGAGAAAAGAAATCCAAGCTGAATCTCCTTTATTCTCCATAGAGGGCTGCCCTCCCCCAGGCAGCCTCCTCCTCCAACGAAATGCCATGCAACATCGCTTTAGAGATTCAGACAGGGTCCTTGGCTAGTCATTGGCTTTGTCTTACCCCGTTTTGGCCATTCCAAAGATGCCACGTATGTCTCTGATCTGCATGGTATTTACCTAGTCTGCCCCTAGCACAGTTGCAGTCCTCATCTGGGTTACATGGCTCCTTTGTCTCCCCCTCTACCTGTCCCTTCCCCCAGTCAGTTCATTATCTACGTTGCCACCAATGCATGCTCCCCCCAAATGCAGTATTCCATGACATGGTCCCTTTGCTTAAAGCTTTCTAGTATTTCTTTGTTATTTACAAAGTCCAGTCTCCCAGGAGTCCCCAAACTCATCAGGCTGCACATACTAACTACACACACCTGTCGTATGAGGATCATGACACAGCAAAGTGAATAGTTCCTGCAGTTTCAGGCTTTCATGCATGTGTGTATTTTATGCTGAGCATATTCCTCCTGTCCTCCCCTCGTTTACCATTCCTCCTCTGGTTAGTGCCCTTTGTTCCCTAGACCCTTTCACATCATATATACATGCATAATTTTATATTTCTATGTAAAACCCGAGAACTTCTACTAAGACAAAATACGAAGTATTTGTCTTTCTAAGAATAGCTTCATTTACTGAGTGTAATTATCTCAAGATGCATCCGTTTCCCTACAAGTGTCAGAACTTCCTTCTTTTCTATGGCTAAGAAAAAAGTCCATGAAGCGTGTAGACCACAGTATCCATTCCTCTTCTGTTAGACGCCTAGATTGATCCCATAACTTAGCTATAGTGAATCATATTACAACAGACACTGGTGCCTATGCATCTCTGTGCTACGCTGATGTCCTCCAGGTAAATACACAGAAGTGGCATGCATAGCTGGGCCATGCAGTAGTCCGCTTTTGGAAAACCAAACAAACTTGCAAGAGCAAGGTGAAGTCCAGTTCCTGCTTTGCCCTGGGGATTTGCCAGGAAAATGTGACTTTTTTTTTTTTAACCCATCCACTCATTTAGAGTGGTTTCCCTCTGAGAATCATAGTAGGCCGCTCTTGCAAGGATATTCACATTTGCATAAAAATGGGTTTATCTGAGGCTCATGGGTTAAGTAAATCCTCCCCCATTCCATTTCTATGCAAGATACTGTTTATTCCTCTTTGAATTCCTTCACTCTGTTAATACAGCTTGTAACGGGCTGCTTTGCATTTCCAGTCCAAGACCCTGGTATACCTATTGGTACTGGCAAGTCTACTTTGGAAGGCCAGCAGCTTCTTCAGTTTTACTCATTCATTCCTCATGAGAACTTTGTAAAAGATGTTTTGTCTCAGTTTTATAGATGAGGAAATCAAGCACCCCTAACCCGAAACT